AACATAAATTTGGTTTTTTTTTTTTTTTTTTTTACCACACAGCATTATTGCTTTTCATGTATTATTTCAAATAAACTGTTTATAAATTAAAAATAACTTGTAGTAGGTATTTAATACTAATAGGAAACTATTTTTTTCTGTTAATGAGATGGTTTAAATTGATTTAAGTAATAACCCTATAGTTATATTACTTACCTTTAATTTACTATTAAGATTTCAATATTTTACCATAGGTACAATTATACAATTTTATGCTTTTAAAATTGGATACTAGGTACAAGTATAAGTTAATATTTCTTAGAAATTCACGAAAAGTAACATTGTTTGCACTTTGCATTAAATACATAATACTATAATGTACTACTATTATAAGTAATTTAAGATGTGTTAAATTATTTTATTTGCCCGTAGCAATAACCAATTTAATGTCTAATCCTCCGATGTATCGTATTGTAAAATGGACTAATTTATACAATTTTTATTTATTTGTGAATATTATTTAAGTGAATTTAAGAGAAATGTCAACTTAGTCATTACATGATATGTTATTGTATATAATAAATTATATTATTTTTATATTGTTATTGAACTTTAAGTCCGTATAAATTAAATAAATAAATAAATAAATACTACTACTACAACTAATAATAATAATGAAATAATTTTCTCAAGTTTTACACATTTTTGTATTTTGAAGATGTTGTTCTGATTTATGACTGTAGCTTCTACGAAATAAATCAGTTTTGTATTTCCTAAGTACCTATTTATTTAAAATGTTATGTCCAAAATATATTTTTAGTCCAACAGTAAACGATCAGGTACCAGCTAGGTATTAAAAAATATGATTATTTAAATAATAATAGTATAAACCACGTGTTCACAAAATTAACATATGAATAGTATCTATATAATATTAAGACAGTGTTGTTCGTTGTTTTGAAGGTTGTATAAGTAATTTTTACAAAATTACAACTTTTTTTGTTCAGTTATTATTTTTAAGTAAATATCAAGAGAACTGTATAATGTATTCCGTGAGTTGTTGAACAAAGACATGCCATTATTATGGAAACATCGATTGAAACGTTTTTTTTTTCATATTTTAACTATTATCTGACAGTCTACAGTAAAGTATCTTGTGTGTTATGCTACCAAAATATTCAGCATAATAATGTCGACTGGGAACAATTATTATTGTTGGTTATTGTAATTTAAGAAAAGAAATGTATAAATGAGAATACTTACCATAATAATATCATATATACCTATAAAATGAAAAATGGAACTTAAAACCAAATATTCTAGTATTGATAAACTTGATATGAATTAGTTTATCAGGTAAAGTTATATTTTTTTTTATTAAAGAAACACAAATATTACACGTATATAGTACCACAAAGAAGTAAAGTAGATAATTATGCTTATATATTTAGTTCAATGTTCATAATATGTAGGTACTACTTTTGTACTTTAGAGTACTATAAACTATTTTATTCGATAACAATTGGTTCATTTAAGGCGAATGGATCATGCTAAAAATCCAGGAAAGTCGTTCTTCCAATAGTATAGGTTCGAGTGTAACTTTTCATTGAGTAGGTCACTGTAATTTTCACAGTGTACCTAATATAATATGTGTTGAAAGCAGTTATTTCAATGAGAAACAACGTCATCCTATGGATATTTTATAATTTGTATAATACAATATGAATAACAAATTTTAATTATTGAACTCTTTTTTCCATATACTGTATTGTATTAACTTAACAATACAGGTTTTTAATTTATTTTGTACAGAAAATAATAATATGCGTAATGGTGAAAAGTTTGAAGTCCCTGCTTGTACTTATGAATTTTCTATATTTTTAATAATATTGCTGCTAGCACAACTGATGAAGAAAACCCTGTAAGTACCTATATTACCTTATAAGACTTAAGTTATTAAAATTGAAAAATATTATGAATTTTGAACTACAAAATAAATTGTAAATTATATTCTATATAATTTTGACAAATTTTGTAATAATTTAAATTTAAATGCTTATAAAAAAAAATTGTGCCAGGCTTTTTTCTATTTAAAAAATGCTATTAGATCAGCTTATTACATATCGGAGCTTATAAACTGTAAAAATCTTATTGATATTTTTTATATGGTAGATACTTACAACAAAATATTGAATATCTTTCGAGAAATAATCGTGAAGTAAAGGTGAATACTAATTTACTATATACGTATTACTGAGCATTTTTTTTACTGACGCCTCATTGCTCAAAGTAGATACTTACCAATCATATACAAATTGCTACCATCTACCCAGAAACTACCTTGAAATTGAAGATTGAAGCATTTTTTCCGCTCCAAAATGTGATAAATAGATACACAAAATTAACGTACACATAATTGAATGTTTAACCAATATATTCATAAATTCGCTCAGAATCAACTAATTTTCACTATTTTATATTTTTATAGTAACCTCATAATAGTATAATACTCAATTATTTACTTACCACAATATTACCTGTTGTCTGACATTTGAATAGTATTGATATAACCTCACAAGAGAAAATATAATTATTGTGTGATTAAACTCAAAATACTAGGAGGTATCCTGAATTAGCTGAATCGTTAAAAAACGAAGGCGTTCTATTATAAATTTAATAAATAACGTTCATTAACTTTCAATAATACATAATTGGTTATTCAGTCCAACAATTGTAAACAAGTGTTTAATAGACATAATATAACATGAGTTGAAAAGTAACAGTAGGGTAATATTATTATATTTATAGTTTACACATATTACTAGCCTCTAGTAACCAATTCGTTTATTATTTTATATTTTAATGTATAACATACATAATATTTTCAATTGTTTTTCAAATAATTTTTATAACATTTCAACAAAATATGATAGTTTAATTTAATGTTATTTTAGTTAATCAAAATCGTAATTTTAATAGTAATAAATTGAAATACAACAGGATCAATAATTAAAATAATAATAATAACGTGGTATTATATTATATTAGAACGATAAATAGGGTTTTCAGTATCAGTAGGTGGATGTACCAACTAATTATTTGAATATTGAACTTAATAATAACAATGATAATATGTATTATATAAACTTATAACACAATTTAATTGCTCCAAACTGAAGTAGCAATTTAAAAATGATAACTTCCGACTAGAAACCAAACAGTTTAGAGCAGTTTAACAATTTACCACTAGTGGGTATCAGATATAATATAATCAACACGATATTTGAAAAATGATTAGTATAGGTAATTAAACGTCAAGAATCTTTACAATTGAGTCTATGTTACAGCGTAGGTGGTCAAAACGGCTTAAGTTGATGATTTATTTCTTTACACTTAATACAATATAATTTAATTATATATTACAATCTGAAAATGATTTTAAAATAATATTAAGTCGGCATGACCGGAAGTAACTCATAAATAAAACTATAATTTATACAGTAAATAAGAAATTTTAAACTATATGCTGAGCAAATAACAACTTATCTTACTGTTGAACATTATTTCTTACTATATCCGTTTTGACTAACCACACATTTGTAAATTTTTCTTAAACATTCCATTGTACATTTTTTTTTTTTATGAAAAATTTTCAAGCTATAGTAGCAAATTTAATTAATTTTATTTACACAATCCATTCATATATGATTTTCCATTAAATATGGATATATAATAATTATATATAGTTTAACAGTAAAACGCACTTGGCGAGTATTTAAAGCCTATGTAACTATAGTTTAAACAATTTAATAACGAAATAGTAGTCGAACCGGCCGACTCAAATTTCCAGCAGTAGCAGCAGCGGCAGCAGCAGCAGTAGCAGTAGCAAAAGTATATCAAAATAATAATAAAAAAAAATTATTCAGTTTGTCACCTGTGAATTAGAATAACGGTTTACCTATATTGATATATTATTAAAATACTAATGACGGGTTGCATAATTGTTTAATTTGATTTAATTTAATGGTTCACTAAAACTGAACCGTCCAATCACCGGCCACTGAATTTTGTTTAAGGGAGTATTAGCTCACTACTCATCAAGGGCACCCGCAGAGGGGAGAAAAAGGGGCCATCCCCGCTGGACATTTTTAAGTAATTGTAAGTAATTTTTATATCTTGCACCGGTTGGGATTTTATCCTGTGGACACGCTTGCTACTCATTCATTAAATGTTAAGTGATTGTTAAAGCAACCTGATTTCAGAATTTCACTTTCTGAAGCCCATTTAAAGAGAATTCAGATTAAAAATGTATAATATTTATACGGAAATTGTTTTAAACGGGGTTTAGCGAAAATAAAATAAACAAAGCCTAAGTTTTTGATACATAATTTCGTTGCGGTCTATAACGGGACGAAGTTTTCTACCGACATTATCGAATGTATATGTGTTATGCACCTTGACAATAGCTATGTTAAAACATTACGAAACAATGGTGTAAATAATAATGTCTTGTCGTTTCTTCCCGTAAAATAATAATAATAATAATAATGGTAATAATGGTATTGAAAGGATTAAAACAGGGACATAACACTCGAGCGAAGCAAGCTATGGTCGGCGAGCGTGTGTGTATTATCGACTGAAATATTGGTCTACGAATTTTACGACACCCTACGAAAGCATTATGCTTCGGACCCGGTCACAATGAATCTCGTAAATCTCAGCCACCATCTGTGGACATTGTGGGCCTCGCAAAGACCGATGACCGTTAATCGTCCGCATCGCCAATCGTTTAAACACTCATACACCCACGCACACACACACGCACACATACACCAAACTTAAACCTACATATTCACAACACACGAAAAACGCGAAATACTCACAAATTACAACAATATAATAATAAGGCGTCGGATATTAGATATATTTAATATACGTATTGACGTATTGTGTATGTAATAATAATAATATTAATAATAATAATTATGGATATTATGTATAATAATGTTGTGCGCATTTTATTATCTCCTATACGTCGTGCCACAAATCATTTTGGTGAAAGCCAACCGGAACTCGGGACTGAAGACGGTGTAGATGATCGGGTTCAGGGTGGAGTTGAAGTAACCCAGCCACAGGAAGAAGCTGGACACGTACTCGTTGATCACACACCCCTGGCACAGGGGCATAACCAGGGCCATGATAAAGAATGGCAGCCAACACACGACGAACGCCCCAGTGATGATGGCCAATGTCTTAGCCGCTTTCCGTTCGCGTTTCGCCTCCAGCGACTCCTTCTTCTCGCGCTTCGTCTTCACCCTAGCAGGCGCCGGAACGCATACCCTATTCACGTTCATCTCGATGACCGTGTGCCGGCCGGCCGACGGGTCCGTGATGGTGGGCCCGTCGTCCTCGATCACCGGGGGCTGGAGCTGATTTTGGTGCTGGTGGTGTTGATGGTGGTGGTGGTGGTGATGGTGTGCTGCTGACGTGGCCCCATGATCGTGGTTCGTAGTGATCGTGAACGCGGTGGTCTTGTCTTCACCACCACTTCCGCCCACGCTTCCTCCACCACTTCCGCTGCCGTTGCCCGCCTTTGACTGTCCACCACCGCCACCCCCGCCGCCGTCCTGCGACGACTCGGGCATCGAACAGCTCGAATGGCCATCGATCAGACCGATGCTCGAGCACACGGCCGTCTCTTCCACTTCCTTCTTCTTTTTGATCCGCAGGAAAACGGCCTTCCGGAAGAAACCGCATTTTTTGGGCTCGGCAGAGGCGGCCGCATCGTCCGCCGGCTTTTTCAACCTGAAACACACACAAGCAAATCGGTGGAATCAAGAGTGCTTATATAGAGGCATGCCACTCAGACTATATAGGAGAATGGAAATCCATGCCAGGATAATATATAACTAGACGAGAGTGTTTAATAATCTCACAACTGTGCTGGCGGTCGCGCGCGTGACGTCCCATCGTTATTACCGATCCTATTTCAATGGCTATACATGGTGTAATCCTCGGCCGTCCAAGTGCTTCTGATACCACTACCCACGCTGAACGCGAAAGGCCGAGTAGCGTTATAATAATAATAGTAGTAATAGTACACACTTAAAATACCTACGATCGATTCGTTAAACCCACCGGATAATCGTTGTAAGTAGGTAATTATTAAAAACCACTGCGGTCTGCAACAAGATTATTATTCAATGCAAATCGAATGCAAGAGCGAATAAAATATGTGTTTTTTGGAAATATAAGAATAGTGGCGAGGCATGAGTCTTTAGATCATCTAAAAAAGATATTGAAAAAAAAAATCAAGCATATTATAATGACAATATTCTTGATATTCATACATTATAGACAATATCACACAAGAAATAAACAACCGTAAAATATTAAAAACCAATCCCAAAAACTAATTTGCGGCGATCGATGACGTGACAATGTATATTGTTAGAAACTGTTAATGTATATAGGTACTGTTTTATTTTTTAATAAAAAAAAATATGAACGGTGAGATGCATCGTATAGCTGCGAAACTCACTCCGTTGCCAGGAAAAACGAGACGTCGTCTCATATTTATTTTTATAGTGAATTTTTATTGTATTTGGATGTTTACTGAAATGACCCGCCACGTTGGGCACCGCCAGCTCAGGTGTGAGGCCCGCAGCTAGACTATTCTAAGAAAACTATAATGATATAACAAAAATAAAAGATTTTCAAAAAATTTATATTGAAATAAATATATGTATATATTATTATGATTTATTACATTCAAATTTGCAAAATAAATATTTTATTTTATGTATTATTTAAATTATTTTCCGTATTCTTTGTGGGTAGATGTTGTTTCGTTGTTTCTTATGACGCTCACTGAAATGAGATTATTTTCTTATTATTTTGAATTTTCCATATTATAACCTAACCTATTCAATTGTTACTCGTCGATATGAAAGCACTGACATTTACAATACACTAATAACGATTAGAAGAATTCACATTTTTTTCTACTGTAGATATACTAGGCACTTCACTTGTTTTGAACGATCTAAAAATATAATCATCGTAATAATATGAATATTTTTAGTTATGAGTTATGATTACTGTCTACTTATGACTGTCTTCTAGGACCAAGTTATGCGAAATTCCTTCATTTTTAAACATAAATAATATATGACTCGTTTTTGAAAGTTACTCCATTTTTTTTAAAAGTACGAATAGTTAGTTGTATTTTTCAATAATTTAAATACGAAAAAATCCTACTTCGTCCATTTAATATTTAATTTGTAAATTTTTTAATAATGCACATTTTCTGAAACATAATACGAAGTACGCATTATAGAGCATAATTCATAACATTATAAATTGCGTCCAAGAATTCGTACATTCAAATAAATTTCACATTCAAATCCTCACACAATTTATCATTCAATAATTAATGCTTATTTATATAATTTATTATTATATTTTTATATACCTATTAGTAAAACTAAATAAATAATTAGGTACCTATGCGGCTATGCATAATAGTAAACGTAATAATTGAATACTGGGGATAATATTATTGTATTAGTGTTGTAAACATTATTATATAATAAGTTACTTTTTTTTTATAATTCTATTTTGCACCTAATTGATTGAACGTTTTTATTGCTTTTTTTATATTAATAAATAAAAAATAACAATTAATCTGGGTAATCGACTTAAAATCTAAGTTAAACATAGCTATAGGGGATTTCATTTCTAGCAGAATATGGCTATACAAAATAAAAGTGTATCAGTTTGTTTTACATAAGTAGTAAAGAAGAAAGTTTCACGAGTACTATCATACTGCAGTGGTGTAACTTAAGATAAAATAATAAATATTTTATCTTTTCCAATTGTGTCTAAAATTATAGAGGTGGCCGGAGGGTGGTGACGCTTTTATACCACTCAAATAATTTACTAATAATAAATATTTACATGTAAACACCTCGAAGTTTTGTAGAATTGTAAAATAAGTGAAAATATAGAAAGTTGGTATAGTTTAGTATTATATCCATATTATAATCTGTCTAACTTTAAGTGTACTTATACATTATAAATATTGTAATGGATAATTAATTACATAAAATGAACATAGAGATAAAATATTCAAGCTGAAGCATAATGTTTTAAAAAAAATATATTTTAAAAATTGTAATAAATTAAAGCTTAAACAGGGGGTCAAAACGATATATTTGCACCACTATAAAATTCAGTGGGCAACTCCCATCTTGCCTAACATTGATTACGCCTATGTGGAATCATGGTCAAAATTGATAATGACAGCTTTATTTATTTTGAAAGCTAGTAGAGTTATTTATGTAATTACCATTGTCAAATAAAAATTAAATTAATTTAATGAGTGTAGTGTAGTGTTTTAGTGCTCTTGAGACTATTATTATTTTTCCATCCTGTGTGTAGGTATATTTTATTATAATTCAAAAGATAGGAATGATTAATTATTTTATTCGTACCATTTATTTTAAATAATACTTCTTCACGTCTGCATTATTAGTTTTATCAATGTGTTTTGTGTATTTTAATATACAGGTATGTTAGAACATCAAAAACATAAATATTCTCAATATTTAATGAAAATAACTTATCGTATATAGTTTGGATACCAGTTAGTAGGTAACTAATAGCTAACATAACATCGTAATACTTTATAATGTTAGTTAAAATATTTGGTGGTATTTGGTTTTATTGAAAATACTGTTTAAAATAATCATTCAAAATGATATGTTAAATATTTTTAACATTTTTTATTACTCCTGAACTCGGAAGTGTGTGTTTCATACCATAAATATTTTATTTGATACACTTAATCATATTTTACTTTGAATTTAGATGTTTGATCTATTTACATATTTTTTATCTCGTTAATTTTTGTAATTTTAATTTTAAAAGATTTTATGATGAAACGGAAATGTTTAAAATGTATTAGGTATATTATAACAATATATTATAACAATATATTATATATATATACTTATAATGTATTTGTATGTGCATTATAATTTTCTCAATTAGGTACCTGCATTTAACTAAATAAATATTATAATAATCGGTCTAACCTCGAATGTTCTAGCATTGCGTTTCTTTGAGCTCTTCTTCTGCGAATCCTTCTCCTGGCTATCTTAAATATCTTCCAATAAAGAAACAAGATGACCAGTAGAGGCAAGTAAAATGTTGAACATGTGGCAAATATCTGATAGCCAATGTCTTGACTGACCATACATCGCTGTTGAATATTAATACGGTCCAGGTAATCCGGGTCTTTCCATCCAAACTGTGGAGCCAATGACACGACTAGTGCTACAAACCACACCACAATAATCATGCCCACTATTCTTCGACCGTTTCTCGTGTGGATATAATCAACATTAGTAACAGCCCAATATCTGAAAAGCAAATACCATTAATTTTCATAATTTATGTATCATTATTTGCATACACTTTGTATTGATTAATTAACTATTAAATATTCATATACAAATATTAAATCATATTAAAGAAATTAATAAAAAAAAAAAACCTAAATATTTATTTTATAATTAATCAGTAACAATTATCTATATCTCCCTCCTTCATACACTATATCTATGCATAACTATATATGAATGTCTCAGCATTATAGAAATCATTATTACTATAATATTATATTATACATTTAGTACCTATAATTATCACCTAAAAATGTTACGGATTGAGTTGTATGCCCGTAAGGCCGTAAGGGTTGTCTCAAGAATATGTTCTTAAATGAAGAATTCATTAAAATAAATGTCTGTAGCATATTGCTATATGGAAGTTAAATCTTGACGATATAAAATATCGACAGTAGAGCAAGACTACAAAAAAAATTAGAATCGTTTAATTTGGTGTTACAGATGAATGTTAAAGATAAGCTGTATCAAATGAATAACTAAAGAAGAAATTCGGTAGATCTCTTTGGAAAATGTCGATAAGGATACGAAGTTAGTGTATAGGCTATATAATTAGACACGAAGGATTATTAAAATTATTGATAATATAAGATACACACAAAATAAAACCAATACATTTATCGCTCTATTCAGAATCTAAAATTATATTAATTTAGTGACTATACAAATATTTGGTGTAAATAAACTTGCATTTTTAGGATGGAACAATATAATTTATAATTTATAGGTATTTTAAATTAGATGAGTGTTATATGATTTTTAAATTTAAACTTATTATGATAACGCATAACATTAGATATTTTAATGAAACAACTGAATTACTGCAGGGCTTACGAAGATGTCAAACAGTATAAATTGTATTTATTTTTTTATCATACTTACGAGTGTATAAAAAAGGGTGTTAAATTGTTTAATACGTTTTTATACATGATATACCAACCTTCTTTAAATATATCAAATTATATATCCTTTTTTTTTGCAACAGTATAATATTAAATGTAATTAAAGCGTCATGGAAGTAGAAATGGGTCCAAGGACAATTTAAGTAAATGTACCTGCATAATTACAAGTGATGCAAAATATAAATATTACAATTTAATATTGAGATTTCCACTGAGTAAGCTAGGCCTGGGGTAGAAACTAAGGGTAGGTATTTTTAGATGACCCTTTCATACATGTTTTTTTTATTTACACATAGCGTTCCCTTACACGTATAATCCTCTCTTCAAACGATGTCCAATAATTACCAGTGAAACTAAAATTATTCAACAGAGAAATATATTCAGTGAACAATCAAAATCCTGCAAACATATTCTTTCTACCAAGTCCCTCTTCGTCGTCTATCTTGCCACTTACGCTTCTGTCCTAATCGCCTTTGTAATCAACATAGACTTTCCTCATATTTTTTTTTCTTTCAGCAGACCTAAATCATTTTGACATGGTTTTCCTCTATTGCATTTTATCATTAGATGTCATCGATTCTGCGTTATTTTATTATTATTTTAGTTTTAGCGTGAAGTGTAGGAACTTTAAGTCTACAGTGTTTCATTTCTTCAAGAACTTTTTTGAACAGTTTTGATGATCTTAATTTTTCTTGACCAATTATTTATTCTATGATTTTATATACATTCCTTATATAGTTTTTAGACAGATTTTATAATTTGTAAGTTCTATTAAGTATTAGGTACAACTGTTTCGTTTTATTCTACAAATTTTGTTTTAAAATTATATACATTATCTATTATAATATTTAATTACATACATAAATTACATGAGGCAGATACATTAATATATTATTAATAGATAATTTTTATCTCTCAAAAGATGTGTGTCTTATTTTTCACATAAATATTTTATATCTTTGTATAGGAAATATTAAGTTTATATAATTATTGTTGAATGTTTAACAGTACTACGCATAAATTAATGTTTTGATGAAAGAATTGGTTTTTTTTACTGAAATTTATAAGGATTATACTGCATACACGCTGAAAAATAAATGCAATTAACTAATAATGGAATTACAAAAAGATAAAAATAACCCTTATATTACTTCATAATTAGATTTTAATTAATTACTTAATATCAACGAAACCCCAAAGAAGGGAGTAAACCTCTAGTGATTAAAACCAAGATTTCTGCCAGATCCAGGCCAGGATAAAAATGTGAGCGAATTCTTCTTAAACTTAATACAAATTTACATAAAATCAATAACCTGACATTTTATTACACTGAGATGGTTTAGAAATGTTTATAAAATGCAATATTCATTGCATTAAAATTTACAATAATAATTCACAATATTATTTGTCAGTCAAATATTTTTATTTCTATTTTGTTTGCAATTCAAATTGTTACAGAGATAAAAAAAATATTAATTGCAAAACTATATAAAAGCTTATGCAGCTTTTGTATATAATTAAAAAAAAACTTTTCATTGATTAATATTTAAAACATAATATACTGAGTACATTTATTTACAAGCACAGCAAAATTATAAAACATATAATTGTATTCAAATCAGGTTTACTCAATTAAGTACCTACTATTTTTTTTTGTTTTTAAAATCTGCCTCTGTATTAACGCTTGACGTAATTTAAGTTAGTTCAAAACTGTATGTATTTAATGCAGTGGTCAATTGGACTTTTCGTCTAAATGTATTTGAACACTAATATTATAATGAATTCATGTCGGCATTAATTTATTATTAGTTCATACAATTATAATTTATCCAGGCGTTTTTTAATATATTATTGCCATAGTGGTAGTGTTTTATGATGAAAATAAAAAACAAAATAATTATTTGACTATTTATATCCAAATGAAATATTTACTAATAAGTGAACTTCGAACTTGCTGTTAGTATGATTTATATTGGTTTATGCAGTATCTGCTATCTTATAAACATTAAACGTAAATGTATAATTTTATATTAAGACAGAAGAAATATTTTTTTGAACATGTTCATTATTTATGTACATTTTACAGTGTACAACATTATTATAGTGGATCGTTGATTGATGATTATAATAATTCATATTTTGCTTATACTCAAGGTAGTTGAAATAGAAAGGACAGGCTAGAATTTTCCTAGTCTCAATAAAATAATATTTATAATTTATAAACATGAACATTTTCAGAAAAAATATTATTATTTTAGTTTTATTTATTCTTAGAGAAGAAAATAGGCCCTCACTGAATAGTGGGTAAAATAAAAACCATCCATAGGTTATACCAGCGTCTAATTAAAAGTAATGCTAGAAGGGATAATTTTAACCCAAAATTTACATTTTTACAATTTTGTGTTTCATGATATACGAATAGAGTTTGTTTTAATTTAATGTATTTATATTTTATAAAACTTAAATTTTTGCAAAAATTCAAATCATTTATCATTGGTAATATTTTGTGAATGGACAATCATGTAACTGATTTTTGGTTTAAAAACGTAGTGCCAACTTTCAAGTTGTCTAAATCTATAGTTTATCATTTATAATAATCAATGTTTAGTAGTGTATATAAGTGCAGTAATATGTTACCTACATGGATGATACTTTATCCACTTTTATGTTTGTAAGCAATAAACTATTATAGTTAAATAATTCATTTTTTTTATTAAAAAATATCCTCTACATAATTTGAATAGTTTTAAATAGCTGTAGTTTTTTAAAACGGAATAATCATACTTTGACTAACATAACCTCAATGTAAATATATGATTAAAAATATATATTTTTTTTAAAAAACAATATCAGGGAAAATCAGTGTTTCATATTAAAAAATTACCTTTTGTTTCTTTTATATTTGTTATAAATTATATATAAGATTTATGAACCATTATAAACTAAACAAAAATTATATTTTTATTGATCTTTATAAAAGATATCTTTATTAAATATTAATAATAAAATATAATTTTTAGTTAGGTATGGAAATATTTGGTTTGACTTTTGAAAATCAATTTTACTGTCGTCAATACCAAACGAGTCACATTGTACAACAATTTTAGAATGTTGGCTAAAATAGTAATATTATATTTAAATTATATCCTTATCTAGTGACATATAGGACATGGACATATCTGATTTATGACCTTCTATGTACAGAATATGACTGTAGTAAACTCCTCTGTCAAGAATTTTAAGACAATGCGATGTTGTTAAACTTTCAAAAGCTTCTTTTAAGGAACTTCATGATTTTAAGTAAAATAACATAAGTAAGATATTATGCGTGTATTAAATGATAAATCATCTATAAAGATGGGCATAAAACATTTGATTTAATAGAAAATGTTTATGTTTAGAAATTGATCGTGTAGTCATAAATGTATCGTATTTATTATTTAAATACGCCCGTAATAGCTAGGTAGTTATTATTAATCAGCGATAGAAATACATGATTTATATTTTATACGGTATCCCGATACCACAAATCAAATTAACCCTTAAATTAATAATTAATTCTATAGAATGAACGGAACTGAACAAATTAATTTAAACAAAAAAAAAATAATTTGAATAATTATTGTAAATGGCTAATAACAATAATTGTTGGTGAAACTTTGGATCAAATAAATAATATTTTGTGTATAATGCGTAAGGATAAGTTCAAGTTTTATTGCAACCATTACTTCTTTATTATAATTGTTATATTCATATACTAGGTATTAAAAAGCAATTAGTATCCTTCAATATCATAATCTACTGCATTTATCAATCTGATATTTTAAATAAAGATTATTATACATTATTTATAAACTAATTATCGTTCAGTCTCTATAATTCCTACTTTTATAAAATAAAAAAAACTAAATCAACTCCGCGTATAGATTTTGTGTAGAGCAATTAATAAAGCTATTATGGTTTATTTATGAGTTTTTTTAATGGAATTATATTTT